TAACCTATCACTTACTCTAGAAATTACTGAAATTATATTAATTTCATTAATATTATTTTCTTTTTGTCGAAAGCGACGCGTCTTATGACGAAAAAAAACTATTTAAAAGTTAGAAGGATGATAAAAAAAAAACTTGGAACTTAAGCATTGAAAGTTTGTGCATTTTCCGCTATTTGTGAAAGAACACGATTCTTCCACAAATTATATCCGAACTATAAACTATTAAAATTTCGATTATTCGAATATTTACTAAGACCACTGATGATAAATACTTGATAATACTCGAAACAGCATTGTATGGACAGCCAAACTTCAATAATTTAACTAAAATTTTTGTTCTTGTCTTTTCATTTTTATTCGAACACTTATAACTTTTAAATTATATTAATTTTGTTATGGATACTTATTACAATTAATCCAGTTAATCTGTCATTTGCTCCGTTGCCTTTAGTTTTCCTTGTCTTCACAAGAGAAAATGTGCTTACAGACTTAGCAGAATAAACAGAATAAAACATTTTATATACATATATTCAGATGTACATTGTACGCACATTTTATTAACATTTTATTAATAATTATGATACACCAATAGTATGAGCCCGGTTATACTCATCCACATTCAATGGGATAGAACATTCAATATTAATTAATTATTAAATATTTTTCTCAAACAATATGAGAAATTGCATTTAAGAAATATAAATAAAATATTATTATTATTGATTAGTTAATATACTTTAAAATAATGTTATTTTAATTGTTTAATAATTAAAACAATTAATTGGTGTAATATAATAGTGCAGGTATACGCAAAATTGATGTAAAAGAACATCAAGTTCGGTGAAAATATATTTTTATTGCAATTTTTATATTTAAAATTTAAAAGATAATAAACAAAAAGATGTACATGACAGTTGTAAAGCCAAATTTTACTTTTAAATTATTATTTATAAGGGTTTTGGTATTAATATATTGTGCTAAAAATATCTAGGTAGCCCGATATATCTGCAATAAATTTTACAATAAGATTTTAATATAAGTTATGTCGTTGTATGTAAATAAAACCCGCCTAACTCACAATAACAATCTAATTAATAATTATCTAATAATTAATAAATTCTATCATTCTTATTATTCATATATTATTATGGTTGTAGTGTTACTATAGATTTTACTAGTTTTTTTAGAAAGACTTACAATCAGAAAAGAAGTATAAAATACGTTGACGATAGATATAAGATAGCATAATTTACAATTAATACGAATTCAGATAATGTACAATATAGTGATGTACAAGGGAATAAGGGTGCATGGTTATTAAATATTGATACTAACCTAGATCAAGATATCTTGCCAATTCAATGCAACGATATCACAAATCAATTAATCTTAGATTTGTGTATAAATGGCAGCAGTCTGTAGAGCAGTGCTTTTTACTAGACATGAGTGAAAATGAAATGTACATAAAGAGAATTAAAATATATGTTTACAAATTGAAAAAGCTTGTTATTTATTTTATCATTTAATTTTAATCCATATCATGAGTTTAATAATATATCCTAAAAATCTTATAAATTTAGATATTACATTGCTTTGTGCAAATATATACATATATTTAAGTGAGTTATTAAATCACTTTTAATGTATTCATTTTCTTTTTATTTACAAGTCATTTATTACATTTCCTTGTTAATGTTATCAACTCTAAAAACATTTGATGAATAAGAAACAGAAATATACGTATTACTAAAATTTTTTCAAATGATTCATTTATTACTTGGCTTATTGCTGAGTCAAAAATATCTGAAGCGTAGTAACAACGACGTCATCTTGTCTCTCATATGATCTTCATTAGCATTTAAAAATTTATAAACTTTGACGATTTAATTATTAAATAATATGAGATGGTAATAGTTTCATTTGTAAAAAAAACATAAATGTTATGTGTAAGTATCAAAATGTGCACCTGTATGTGTACTCATATGAATAATTTAAATAACTTGAAGATCAAACAATTAATCATCATATTAAGTACGTGAATATATTATATGTACAAAAGCATTGCACATAAAACGTACTTGAAGATAATCTTAATTTATATTTATAAACCAGTCGCTGATAGCAGTTTATATATGCACTTTTAATTTAATTTTTGTTAAGAATTATCAAAGTGTAAAAGTATTTCGTTAAAATAAGTGAAAAATTATAATTATGAAATATATAGAATGAACGAATAATAAAAAGTTTCATAAAACTAATATAAATATTGTATGAAATATAAATTTATAACATATCTTCATAAGATCTAATATAATAACAATTCTTAAATTTGTGGAATCGCAATAGTTGTATTTTTAAATACCTATGACAATGTTACTACTTGTCTATTATCATCTTATGATTAGAGCCTCTTTTTAAGCATTAAGTGTTATAAGATAAATATATTTTGTCTAATTTTAAACTTACATTAAATCATTGGTAATTGTTAAAATAAGTTACTTTTATGATATTCCACGCATTCCACTAATTTTAATCTACAAGAAAACATATTATTAAAAAATAATTTGTATAATAATATAATATTTTACCTGAAACGGTATTGCTACTCTTGGTGATACAATAGATTTTTCAATCAAAGCAACATAAAATTTTGTATTTTTATCATTACCTAATAAAATACGTTGATTAATTTTATGTGAATGTAGTTCACCCAATGCAGGACTAATTTTCCATTCGGTTTCAACAAGGCAAGTAGTTAAATCATTTGTGATTACAATCTAAATAGCACAAAAAAGTGAGTAATATTAATTTAGAAAAGTATATATTATACTTACTGCAACTTTAAAATCCCTTCCTAACGCTTGTAAGATGTCTAGTAACTCATATATCACGCAAGTTCGTTCAGAAACTTCTTCCATAGAACGTAGAGGAAATGAAAATGAGTCTATAACAATAAGTTTCAACTAATTTTAAATTTTGATTGTGCTTTAAACTCTATTACATACGAACAATATTACTTACATTTGGTTTTTGCGTTAATATATTTTTAAGAGTTTTAATTGTAGCAATTAAGTCTATATAATCAGCACAATATATATAAGATACATTTCCCAACAGCGTATCAGTATCAAAAAGACCTTTACAACTGATTGTTGGATTTACCTTTTTAAAAGTTGAGTAAAATCGTTCCGACATGGCCCTTGCTATTTCTGGAAGAAAACTGAATTACTTCAGATGTGAAATCAAACAATTTGCAATAATAATAAAGATTTTTTACATACATACTACATACCTCTCAAGCGTTGTGGTGCGAACATTTGGTTCGTGTCTATGTATAACGCATTGCCTCCGATTCCACCAATTTCTTTAGGAAATTGAACGTTTATACTTAGCTGCATGCTTAAATTAAATGTATTATATTTTTAAAGATTGTTGGAAAATAAAAAGCAATTACTTACCACATTTGAGTTTTAGCATCACCCAAACCACATAGTTCTGTTATGAGCCCTATAATTATACCACCCGCCAATTGAGCATCCAAGTCTTTACATAATGTTATAATTTTCTGTGTTTCTTCTTCGTTTCGCCACACATCAAAACATGTAGTTTTAAACATATTAAATTGGATAATATATAATCAATTGCACAGTTTATGAAATATATAATATTTGCCGGTAAAAATAGAGTGTTGCAAAATGTTTTTATAAATAAATAAATTATTAATAACAGAGTTGTATTTTATGCGTAACTTAGAAATTTGAAATCATTTATGCCATGATTGCCTTATTTACACATATATATAATGTAATATATATATAGCATATATAATACGTAATACCTAAATAAAATTTGTTTTCTTTTGTTTTGTATTGCAAAAACTGTTTGCTTTAAAATCATATGATATCCAGATAACATATTTGGAAACCTGCTGTAATCTCTAATTAAGCAAAAAAATTAAAAAATTAAGAGTATTCATTAAATTTCTGAAATTTAAACATATAAACTTTTAATTGTACTTTCGTTCATTAAGTTAAATAAAGTTAAAATTACAATTCGATTCAATACAAAAATCCGACAACCCAAATAATGATTGAATTATGACTTTTGAAAAATTAATTTAAATATGAAATTATAATTTATTACAATACATTTGTGTAACAAAATTTTGCAAAATATATTTTAATAATAGCTGTAATTTTTTTTAGAGTACCAAAAAAAATACTTGCAACTTAATAAAGAAAACATATGAAGCAACAATAATGCTCTAAAATCTTCAGAGTTAGGTTTTACTCGCAAAGAATTTTACGTCTTAAATTTCAGTGTAATGCCAAATCCGAGAATCAATCTATTGTGATGTTCACTGGATATATAGGCCTTTTCGGTGGCTCTCAAGTATGACAAAAAATATATGCTACCCTATATTCGCTACGCGAGACATTGGCATCACAGTTGCAATCTGGCAAGTGTTATGTTTCGACAAACAGCAAATATTGTATATGTGTACATAATTCAAGAAAAATAACATTCTGTATAAAAATAAATAATTTATATAAATTGAAAAGTAAAATGAATACAGTATTAAAAGGAATGGTTAAAATGTTGAAAATTTCAAAATAAAACGGTAAAATTTTTTAAATTTATGAATTTTTTGTTTATATATGATTTTTAACATATGATTGCAATATTCATTGGAATTTCCAATGAAGATCCACAATAGTTCGCTTATTGCGTTGGCAATACCAGAACTGGCCTAAATAGAGAAAATAGTGTTGTTGTTTTGCATACATTTCAGCCAGTGCAGGCGAACAACTTCCTGCTTTTTGCCATACTTGTGAGCCACCGAAAACGCCTATTATTTAACACTAATAAGTAAGCTTAATATATTTTTTCTTAATGAATTTTGAGTGAAGCAAAAGCATTAGTTAATAAATTAATTCATTATATATAATGAATATGTATAATAACACTTTTTCGCACGATAAAAATATCGCTCGAAAAACGTATGTGTTACTTTTGACTTTAATTTGGGAACACTGTTTTAATACTATTTTCATTTTGCACTGTCAACACTACGGGTCATAGCAACAAAATGTAATGATTGCAGTCTGCTGTCGTTTTTTCAAGCTCGGTGTCGTGTGGGGTTTGGTGTGTTATTTACTTAATTATTTTTATAGATATTAATAAAGGTTAGATGAGGAAATATAAAATGTTGAAAATAATGTGAATAATATAAAAATCGAGTAATTGTGCGTATTTACATCACTCACGTTGGTTGAAATTCAATAAAGAACAAAACATTTCTTGTCTTCCAATTCCATATAAGGTAAGTAAATCTCTTTACATATAATATCATTAGTATAGAATAATAATGTATATTATTTATATAGAATAAAGTAACTGATTTTATAATTACATTTAAACTATAAGCAATTGAAATTTATTAGAATAGTTGTTGTAGAACGTGGAAAAGTAACTACGATCCTACACTTCACTTCCACTGACAGGTTTAGATTGTCCGGCAAAATTAGGTCAATGAAATGGTTTCCCTATTTTCGGTTTGCAACTCTTAAATTAATTTGTTATGTGGTTTATTTTTTTTTTTTTTTCTTAATTTCACATCAAACGGGTTATTGCTTTACACAGTAAACCTGAATTTATTATTTTTATTTACAGTTTAGAATTTACCCGGTTTTATTTGGTCAAAATATAACATTGAAAACAATAAGTGAACTTGAAAACAGGAATACAAAAACAAAAAGTATGATATTTTTGTATATAAACCTACATATGTGTTTATAAAATAAGTGTTAAATTACGTGTACAAAAATCATATAAAATAATAGTTCAATTGATTTTTTTAGCGGTTTAATACAAATAATGAAAAATAATCTTGTAAGCAATGACATCACTCCAGCTATGGGGGTGTAGTGCCGTAGAGCGAAAAGCTGCGCTTGCTTTAATTTTTAATTCTTTTCACACTTCTTTTTACTGCCATAAATAGTTTATATATAATATATAATAATTGAATAAAGCAAATATATTTCACTACTTCTCGTGTTTTCAGAAAAAATTAAAAAATCACACCATTTACTAGAAAATATATGATAGCCATATTCGGATTTAAAGTAAATGTATAAATAAGTCAAGTTATACATTTCATATAGAGGTATTTCTAACAGTAGTGAACTACAACAACAAAAATTCATTTTATATTATATTAATTAATTGAATTTTTGACTCACAATACAGCTGCTTCGAGTATTCGAGTATAATTAACATATTCGTAAATATTTTTTTGAGAATGCAAGTACCAGGAGTCGAACTCATGTCCTGCCAAATTTGAAGCTCAGAGTCAGCGCACCTCAGTTATACATTCCTATAATGTTTACTTAGTTTAAAAAAAGTACAATATTTCATTTATTTCATAGTAAATAATAGCATTCCGTGGTGTTGATAGTTTGTCAGTTTAAGTAATACAAATGATTATTGGAAGAATTTGTGCTATTGAGATAACTCTCTTTCCAGTTCCGATGCAAATATCTTTCTAATTTTAAAGTTTGAATCTATGAGTGCGGTATGATATATCTAAAATACACTCTACTTAAATATAGTCTAAGGTTTATACATCTTTCTCCATTGACAACGGTTTCCGTCGTTTACAGATAAAAAAAACCAAAATGTCCTCAATAAAAAGTGTTGCTTTTTAATCGCATTTTCCATATATGATCAAAATTCGATCTTAAATTAATTTTTCCATCCTGCGTGTCTTAATTAAAATAAAATGCAAGATTCATTGTCTATTGAAAGAAGCTTGCTACTCATAACGAAACGGCTTCTCTAATTATTTCAAAGTTTTGGTTGGCAGTAGTGATGCAGGGGTGATCCACATGTTTGATCTGTTTTATCTAAATTTTACAGTTAGTAGGTCTTTTTGATTGACAATAGTGATGCGAGAGGTGATCTACATGTTTGATCTGTTTTATCTAAATTTTACTGTTAGTAAGTCTTTTTGTTTGACAATAGTGATGCGAGGGTAATATACTTACTTGGTTTATCTAAATTTTACAGTTAGTAGGTTTTTTTTTTTTGAAATAAATAAGACTATCCTTTAAGCATAAAAATATGAAATACTTTGTTAATCTTTAGACCTAATTGAACAAAAATTTGTTCAGTTTAGTAGTTATGATTTTAGTTATGATTACGAACAGTTTCTTTAAGAGACGTTATGGACGTTCTCTATAACTGAGAGCAGTGTAAACTTTATTTTACTGAACATATTAGTTCCAAGATAAGATGAACGTAACCGCAAAGTTACGTATATCTCTCTTAATAAGAACTTTCAGATAAGTTATGCTATTATTTTGACACTGCTGGCTCATCAATGGTTCTATAATGTGAATAATAATGTGAATAATGTGATTTGGTGGTAATTAACATTATATGAGTGATAAGTCGGTGATAAATAAAAAAAAAATGGAAATATTTTTATAAAAATTTTCTGTTATAAGATAAAATTAACGTCTGTTATGACGGAAGTGACTATTTTACTTAATAGAAATTAGTATATTTGGCAGAGAGGTTTCGAAAAGTAGTGAACTACAACATACATACAACTATTTCGAGTATTAAATTTTCTAGAAATCAGAGTTTCCTTTGTTTCAACATATGTTTAATATAAATAAGCTTTAGTAAATTTACCAGAAATTAAAAAATAAAATAAGAATGGTGATTTAGCTAAACGTTTTGCAAAAAAAAACAATTCAAAAGTTACATTTTACAACAGAATTTGTGAATGAAACAATAGTCATCATAATGAAAAGATTTCTTTTTTAAAGAGAGATTATGGTCAAATAATTCTCATAATGTCCTTTGTTATATATGATCTACATAAATTCATTAGATTCAAATGATTTGTTTTAGATGTTTTACTAACCTAAGATATTAAGCAATATTTATGAATACAATGAAAATTTTGATATTGGGGCAAAATCAGCTAGGACTGTTAGACGAAGTATGTTTGGATTACTATCTTATAGTTTTTTTTTTTTGTATAGAAGTTAAGTTCAAATAAATTTCTTTGTTAAATCCCCTTTTAATTAATTGAAATTCAGATAGTAGATTTCAAGATTTTTTACTTATTGTATGAAGATAAAATTGAATTGGTAAAAAATCATTTATACATATAAGTTCAGTCGATGTAGACTAAAAATGTTAGTATTTTTGTTTTTGAGATTCGAAGATAATATTTATTATGTATTTCTGTAAACTATTTAATATCTGCTAATGACTTCGAAAAGAGTTTATTTTCGTAATGTTTTCAATGTTTTTAAATGATGATATGGACTCATGAATAATCGCTTCGTGCAATAATTATGATCATAAGTAGCAATTACAGCTCCCTCTATTCAAATTTATTGGTTGATTTAGTATCGTCTGGTCACTCGTTTAAAAAACAACCGATTATAATGTTTTATACGTTTAGAGTTTATTTATTTTTAATATTGTAAAGACTTTTAAAGTAAACTTTTAAAATGAAAACTATTTATATAGCTTTCGTATTCAACTTTATATAAGTCCTTTTTTATAAAATGTTTCCAATGTTTTATAGTGTTTTGATTTCTTCAAACAGAGCGGGATGTTTAAGCTAAGCTATTGGCTTGGTAAACTATCGAAAAAATGCCATTGGAATAACTAGTTGGGTTTGGGTCTATGAACCTTTAGTTCCAACCATTAAAATTTCATTCAGTTATCAATCAATTTTAATCGAAAAATTTTCCATTAAAAAAGCTTTTCAAGTTTGCATCTATGGACTTTTAAAGTTAGCCATTAAAACTGCGATTAATTAACATTCACTATTACTATCCACTAAATATTTGACGCCTTGATGGTAATTTCAAATAATATTCAATTTATCTCATAATAATAAATGTTTATTATTATAAGAAACAAAGGGGGAGCAGAAAAATAAAAATGTATCAAAGAAGTTATCAAATTGTATGAAATCTTTAGATATAATGTTGTTATTGTGCATGTTGTGTCTATAATATTTTATTAAATTAAAACTTAAATATTGAAATACATATTTCAGTCAATATGTACAATAATATTGATAAAAAAAAAACATTGCATTTCAAAATATTGCAAGTAGTTAAGGTCTTTGCTCTTGGAGAGGAAATGTTATCATTCTAAAAATATTATCGCATTGAAATGAATTAATGAAAGGGCTTGGCTCGTATTAAAGAATGCTTTTTGGGTGTGTCTCTGCGTGCGTAAGCAGGACATTCAATTTAATTAGTGTCTAAAAATTGCATTTAACAAACATTCAATTTATTTTTCATATTTGACAATAACGTAAGTAAGTACATTTTAACTTTAATTATTTAAAATTTTCAAAACTTTGATTTAAATTCCAGATAAAAGCTTATCTTAAGCAGAGCGTAAAGATGTCAACACGCAATTTTTATGAAATTTTAAATTCGCAGTCGAACGCAAGCTATGAAGAATTAAAAGAGAATTACAAACAATTAATTCTACAATGTCATCCAGATAAATTACTACAAGATATTAATGCGCATAAAGATACAAATTCTACAACAACAGCAACAGCAACAGCAATGGCAACAATGAAAGCAGAAGCCGGCAATGCTTTTGTTAATGATGTTCAAGAAAATAACAAAACAGATAATAAAGATTTTGCTGATATTGTTGATGGTGACCTAAATGCTAAATCCGATAGAAAATTTGTGGCAATAAATGAAGCATGGAATACACTCAAAGATCCCACAAAACGTAAACTCTATGATGCCGAAATGCTGTTGACAAAATTTCAAACGCACAGCAACGTCTTCGAGAGACTTACATTAGCCGATATGGAAAAACATAGCGGTAATAATACAATCAATCTTGCCAATACTAATCAATCGAATGATAATGATGATGATGTTGTTGATGTTGATGTAGACGAAAATGGAATATCTACGTCTGATACATACTATACATATGATTGCCGTTGTGGCGGTCAATATATTGTGGATGAGTCAGCGGACAATGAAATTTTTAACCACAAACGCAGTGATTGTGAAGTGATTGTTGAGTGCAACGAATGTTCTTTAGTTGTTATATTAAATGGATGAAACGAAAAAGTTCGCAATAAACCGCAAATAAAAAATTATAAATAAATTAATAAAAATTGAAATTTATTTCACGTACTTATATATCCTGCATATTACATTATATCAATTCACTCATTATTTATAGTAGATATTCTTAATCATCTGAATAAAGCAAAATAAATATATATCAAGAAAATAATATAAAAGAGCCAGAATTTAAGTCACCGCTATTGACCTCTTTCAAGCTAAGAGTTTCTAATTATTAAATACATTTTACGACAACTAAAACCTCTTATGAACTATAGCTGCAGGATGCCTGTTCCATGTTTAGTATACATGAACAGACATTTTCTTTAATTCATTTACAATCCCACTTTTCAGATAAAAGTTACACCTCATACAAGAAAAAAAAACATTTTTTATGATGCACTGGAACAGCAAACTATTTTTAAAACTGCATCTAATATTAATATATGTTTGTAATACCAAACACTACAACAAGAATCTTTTCTCATTGAGTACAGAAAACCAAGAAAGAAAGCTTAGATCTGTCAAAAAAAATAATGTAATTTTTATGAATTGATACTTGTGTGCATTTTCTAACAGAATATCATAACTTAGTAGCAAAACCAAAAAAATTGGGTTCTAGCTTAAGTAATTGTTGGTTTTCAGGACAATAATAATATATATACATATATACATGGTTAGACGATTGAAGTATTACCTATTTAATTGACCATATTTTTTTGTGTTAAATTTTTTTTTTACTGATTTGAATTACAAAAATTTGTGGAAATAATCAAAATTCTCTCTACCTACATCTGGCCACCTTTTGCCTTGACTATGGCCTTCATTCGGTTAAAAAATGAGTTGCATACTTTACGAATGTGATCTTCCGGTATTTTTGCCCATTCCAGAACAATGGCTTTGGCACATCCATACTGACATATATTTTAGTCCTCACCTTGCTCTTCAATATGGTCCAGATGATATCCATCGGAATTGCACCTGGTGCATGCGATAACCATTATGTGGACAAAATGAAGTGTGAAACATGATTTTTAATCATTCTTGGTACATACGAGCTTTATAAGTCCGATACCGGTGCCGAGTCTTGTTGGAACGTCCATGGCCTATATCGAAATATTTGCATACCGAAATATAGGCTTTAAAGCGACTTTCAAAACATTTTCCCGATAATAAATTGCATTGACTTTGACATCAGGCTTGATGAAAACGATTTGATAGCGTCCATCGGCGGTCACAGCTACGCATTTACTTTGGGTGGCTATTCGTAATAATGGCCAGAGAACACAATGTTTGAAAATTCTCCACGTTCGTGCAAGTGTAACAACTTCTTAGCTCTTTCGAGTCTCACTTTTTGTTACTTTGGTGTAAGATCTTATATCTTTTAGAACTTGTAAGGCTTTACCTTGAGCTGATTTTGGAATATGCGTCGGATGCTTCGATGGGATATTTTCAGTTATATATATATATTAGATATATATATCTAACGTAAAAACATCCTAATTGAATAAAAGTATTAAACTGCACAATTTGAAGTTTATTTATATTTATAATCAATCTGACCTAATAAGACTCTTACATCTAAGCTGAAGCATCTATTGTAACAAATAATGTTTATTGCAATATAAATAGTGACAAAAACAATGCAATTGTTGCTGCAATAATTGCATTGAACCTATGCAATGACAGATCTAATGGATTTGTATCAGACCTAATTAATTTATGTATAGAACAAACTCATATATTTCATTTATTATAATTAATCGAAATATCAACATAATATCTATGTGGAAAAACAGTGATTTTCGGATTATTGTAATAATTTAATTTATTGTAATATTTTATTTTTGAATCTAGCTATACTAGTTTCAATTATTTGTATAAAAATGGTATTGGCAGTTAAATTCTTGCATTTTTAAGAAATAAGCATTTAATTTCTTATATTCTACAGCTATATTTCGAATGTACATATATATCCACCCTTACAGTATTGCTCATGCCTAAGGTTCTTATCAATTGTGCAACTAATAGACAACTGCATATGTGCAGTTCAAGATAATGGAAAACTTATTACGAAATTGAAAATAATATTAGATTACATGTGGATGATTAAATGTATTAAAATGTAATTAAATTTTATAAAGATTCTGTTTTGCATGATAGAAGAAAAATATGAATAAAAATATTTTTAAAATAAACAAGGAAATTTCAAAGAAAAATAGATAGACGAAATATGTATTTAAAAACAATCTACACAAAGAAGTATTACACATGATATTGTTTATTTATATCCCGTACACCCGTATATATCTATAACTGACAAGTTTTATAGTTTTTTCTATTAAATTTTGTACGTAACTATCTTATTGATATGCACAAGGGAACTTTTGAATAAAACATACATGGAAATCGGAAATTACTATTTTATAACAATAAGTAAAGAAAAAATTTTACAATTTTTTGTGACATAATATTTGTATTTGAGACACTATCTTCATATAAATTAGTGTATTTATGTGGCTTTTTTTTTTGTTTTATATATTGAACTAGTTTTGAAATATTTTCATAACTCACTTTTTTGAATTGAATTAAATATTATAAATAATATATTTGATATATGTGCGACCATGGTTGAACTTTTGGATAAACAACGAAACTGGATCGAACAGCAATGTACTTTGCCCCTTGGAATTTGTAACATCTCTTGTACAGGTTTTCCTAACCCCAGACGTGGCGAAAAACATGACCCAGTACTCTTTTAACTATGCCCAATCAAAGTCGGACAGTCACAGACAATGTGACCTGAGTGGCCTGATACTCTTACATACAGAGACTACATTCTGGTTTCGCTAACAGACCCATTCTGTTTAAATAGAAGTGCAGGACATGAAAGCCTATGTTCTTGTAATTGTAGCCTGTGAAGATGTATTAAGCAACAGGAAATAAAAAACAATTTGCCAAAACTAATACTTGCGTTATGGTCCTTTTTGACTATATAGTACTAGTATGGTACCCTATCTAGTTACTAGTATGGTACCTGCCATCAATCTCAGTTATACTATTATAAGATAAACATATTTTTGTATCTACATAAAACTAAGGATACTTCAAAACCCAATTCCAAAAATCAAGATTGAAATAAATTTTTTTGTTGCAATTCACTACTGTTCCATAAAAACCTTTTTTAAAAACAATAGTTTATATCAAGAATTTAGTTTCTTTCGTGAAAACGGACGTTAAATATCAATTTAATTACAAAATAAATCGAAATAATATTATACATATTAACATAGTATTCTTTAACCTATACATATCTTTGGTTTATTGTTTTCTGTTGTGATGTTAACATCAAGATATTGAAAATTTTTAGCTGCTGTGCTGCTAAATAAATATTATAAATATGTTAAATATTGTATCTATTAACTCTTGATGCTTATTAAAGATAGGTTAGAATACGATACTGTTGTAACAAACACTTAGATAAGTAAAGTTCTACATTTTTTTAAAGTTGTTATTGTTAAATTTGCTTTCGTCACTAAGAAGTTCCTTAATAATAAATGCACATCAGGTGCTTTAAAAAAACCGTACTCTAAAAAAGGTTTCGTTTTAAGTTATGGTTTTGTCATACATACAATTCATATGGCCATAAAAACTGTATTTCTTTTGACATATTCAAATGTTTCTATATATTACCCGTATTTGATAAGAGTGACAAGTTATCACACTAAGTTATCATATATATTTCTCTTATAAAAATGAGAATAACCAAAATAAAAAGGAATACTGGGATAATCTGTAAGTATTAGAAAAATCCAAATCACTTATTGGTACCTAAGACAATAGGAGATACCAGAAGATATGGAGTTATCAAAATAAAAACTTAGAATTATCGCAGGAATCTTAACAGAACACTGTAAACTAAAACACTAACTTACAAGACTGGGCATATATACGGTTGCAAATTGTACATTCTGCGAAGAAAATGAAGATTCAGAGACGGAATAGACTTTTGGGGATGTATATGTTTATGAAAGGGGCAATAAAACTCTGTAAAGTAGGTTCTATACTACTTTTTATGGACGGAACAGGGCTTAGAGACTCTAAGCCCAGAATGATGATGCATGAATTTGAATTGAAATTGAGTCATAAATTTTTTAAATCTTTTCTGCAATATACCTATTAACAGAATTGTACAGGTCAGCTTTTGTATTTAAGTTAACAGTATAAATTTCAATAAAATAGTGTTTAATTTGACTTTTGATCCAACTTTTAGAAACTGGTTCATTTTGTCTAAGTATTTAATATTTCAACAGCAATCCATATGTAAATATATTAAAATTTTAAATCTTATTAAATAATATAGTGTTTTTATACCTTTTAATAAAAAGTATATCGGTTTTGATTATGAGATTAAAGTACGTGTAACTAAAATCATAGCTTACTCGTACAACGTCAGCAATTCGACTACGTGCTTTCAACACTTTCATTTTTTTCACTTTTCTGTTGTGTTAATTACCCGATTTGAGTATTAAATCAGCTATTTGTGAAATTTTGTCACTAATTTTAAACAAACTAAATTTCATGTGTAGTTTAGCGAAACTAGTCGTACAGTGTGAGTTTTAGCCCAGAAGTTTGCATTTCTCGCTCTCAATTGGAGCATCAAAATAATGTTACATGGCTTAAGCCGGCAAACGAAGTACAAATAGATTTTTAATTACCCACAACAATGGATAATTAAATTTGTTTTACAGTACTTAATTACATTTTCTGTGTCTTATTGGATAGTCGATGGTAGTGTTGTGACTAAGAGAAAACCATTTAATAGTAAAACTTTCATTTAAAGCAATTTCATAAAAAGCTTTGTTAGACAATTATAAACTAACAAAACTAATATATAATTATCAATAAAAAGTAGTAGAAAAACATAAAACATAGTAGGTAACCAAATCTATAAATTACAGAAGTCTCCGAAACTTTAAAGGTAAACAATGAATTTCACCTTCATTGATTAATAACCTCAATAATTACTCGAAGAAAATGTAAT